AGTTTAATGAACATTAGGTACCACAAAAATAGTTATTTTTTCCGTTTTTAAGGCAAATTTTCCAATCTTTTTGGAGGACATGTATATTATTGTGTTATAAATTTCAATTATTCGAGAAAAAAGTCAAAGCTAGATTGCTGGTTATCACCAACCATGTTTTCGTTAAATCGACATGTTCGGAGCGTCGGACTGCAAAAACTTCTCAAAAATTTTGTCGGACAATAAAATACTTTCATTTCAAATCTTATTACCAAACCCTCCCAGAAAAATCAACTTGATGGTTGTCACCAACCATAATGTCACCAAAACGACATATTTGGGGTGGGGGACAAACTTAAAATGCCAAAGTTAAAAAAATATATATCTCATTTAATCTTTAAAAAAAAGTGCTGGTCATAACGTTCAATGTTTATGCCAGATTGACATGTTTTCCTGAAAATCATGCGAAAACTTACCACTGTTGAATTTTCCTCGTAGTCAAATCTTGGGAGACTCGTCAAACTTAAGCTACACGCAAAGTTACAGCTTGCTGGTAATCATTTTTCTTTTTGTACGTGGACTATTCTCTTTAAATATTAATTTAAATATCATGGTATTAAAGTCATAAACTACTAAGCTGCCACAATGGTTTCTACACAGATATATGTTTTTGATAAAATATTTTAGGTTTCGATTAAAAGAATTAATTAACTGATCGGACGAATAGATTACCATAACCTATATTGCGCGTTACAGATACGTAAGTAAGTATAGGTAACAATTTAACTATCCGTTTGTTTAACCAAATATTAATCGAGAGTCAATATATTATTGTTTCTAATTATTGTAATCAATACTGGATTTAAACAGAATTTGCACCAAAATAACCGGATTAACGGACACTTGTCCAGCACTACACTCTATACACCAGGTCACGAAATGACCTAATGGGGACGATGGATAGACAAAGACAACGCACGACAACCATAGAATGGGATGGGGTCACTCAATAATGAGGACATTACATACTCCTTTTTAGCTACAAGTGCATCAAATACTAGTTTATCTGCAGAATTTATTTAACGGGTACTCAGTTTTAGTTCAAATATCACAAATGAGTAAAATTATCAAAATGCTCATTATTGAGTGAAAATGTACTCAATAATTTCAGTCACACCGATTTTTTTACAGTGTTTCGACAACTTTGAGGAAAAGTTGCACAAGTAGATTTAAGTACAATTTGAAAATTACCCTTTTGAATTTTTCTTTCCTATTACGATAGAAAGAAATTGTACCGTGTAGTTCCCTATTTTCGCCTTGATATCATTTGGTTTACAACAAAGGATAAGTTTTATCACCAAAATAACTGTATCCAATTCCTTTGTACTTCAGATTCAATTATCACTTCTCGTATCGAGAATCGTAATCTCTTGGAGCAAAAATATTTAAAAAATACATGACTAGCAATGTTATTCATCTTCATATTTTTCTATGCACAAAACTGAAATTTTGTCCAAGAAAACAAAAACTTACATACAATTGATAAACATACGTGACTGCACCTTTTGTAGTTTTCAAGACAATAGAGATGACTTCTATGTGTATTATTCTTGTCGAAGAATCAACAAACACCATTGTGAGCTTTCAGTTCAATATTTTAGTTCTTCTATTTATCTCTGTCCACAAGATATCTATGAATGTACCTATGTAACTAAGAGATGCCGTGTTGTGACAATATACGTAGTCAAAATTTTAAATTAAATAAGGCTTACTGAGTACTAGAGTGCTATGAAAACAGTCAGGCCTATAGGGAATACCGCGGACTAACACTCACAATCGAAGTTTTAAATCAATTACATAAACATAAAAAAATGTACTCACTTTCACTTGAGATACACTCAACTTATATTTTACTGAAAGTAATGGTATCAAAAAACTAGATTTAATTCGTTGTTTGAGTATGGCAGATTTAGAAGATAAAGATAAGTTAAAAGGACTAAAGGACCTACTTCCTTTCAATTTCTAGGTATACTTTAGATCAATCTAATGGTAAGAGTATAAGTACGTGCAATCATTCAAACTGTTGATGTTGATGGGTTTAGTACAACAGTCAAGTATTTCTTGATTCGAAATAAGTGATTCTAGTAACTGCTTTACATAAAAATGCCAAGTGTATATCCGAAGTTGAACATACGAGTATATGTATGTGTTATGGTTAAAAATGCAATATTTTTACAGTTTCATATTGTTCAATACTTGTATACGATGAAAGTGCAAACAAAACCGTCTGTTAGTCATCTGTTTTTAAAAATGCAAGTACGTATTTGTGAAGAAAATGTGATCGTCCAACAAATTTTTTTGATAATAAAGGTGAAACGAGAAAATATGCTATGAGTTGCATATTAGTTTCGTAAAAAAATTGTTTATATGACTGTTGGTGTATTTTATTGTGTACACAACACTTTTCACCCAGGATTATGAAAATCCTGGTGTCAGATACGCTTACTAGAAGTCAAAATTAAGTATATCTCCTGCCACTTAAAGGTATCAGCTCGTGACGTCGGCTATCAGTTATTATTACATTTAAAGGAAGTAACTTGTTCAATTTCGCTGATAACTTAATACCTTGCCAATTAAAAATTGGTAAAGATCTAAAGTAATTGCGCTCCATATATTATGATTTACGATACCTACAGCAAAAACAAAACAAATTATGTGACACATAAAATCTGGTATCGGCTCTGTTTTGGAAAATAAATATGCCCCTATACACTTGAAGCGAACGCTGCTACAGTAGAGGCGCTCCAGTAAAGATCAATTAAAGCCTTAATAAAGACAATCTTTTGTGATTTCATTTACCGCAATTTATCACGAATGAATTGTATTGTATATTTTGTGTCATCCCTATTGTTAACCTCTAAATTTATAGGGATACTTAATTTTCTACAAAAATTTATTACAAATGCTCTTCATTGTCGTCCATTACGTTTAATTTACCAACAAAAAACGTGACCATTGTACGCTTTCTCAAAAAGAATAGATGTTAGATTAAAAGTGTAAGTGGAGTGTCAAAAAAAAATAGCACAAACTATGGCTGACATAAAAAAAATTGCAAGAATGTTTCATAATTTAGTGGATTTTATTAGACAAATTAAATTTATTTGTGGACTAGTTATCATAAAGTATGGCATTGATTTGATATTGCATGATCTGGTATCTAGAAGAAGGCCAAACAACACAAAATATGATTATAAATTTTGTTTACTACGAACAAAGTTTACCTAAGTCTATGTCAATAACTGCCACCTACACTATAAAAAAAATTTAACTCAAGTTCACTCAATTTTACTCAATAATGTATCAATTTCCACACCCGATTGAATGAAATTTTCACTCTATTAGTGTGAGTACAACTAAAATTTTATGAGTTGAACTATTAGGCTATTGATTATATCCAAAAAAAACAGGGTTAAAAGGAACTTTGACATTCAAGCAATTTTATTGCATGAATCGTTCAAAGGGTCATTTTAGATGAAAAAACCGCGGAGTGCTATTAAATTAGAGGGTGGAAATTGACGATAGGGGTGAAAATGCACCCCTTTCAGTTTTTTTATTGTAGCTCGAAAATGAAGCAAAATTTCACTAGTTCAAAAAAAGTCAAAAAAATCAAAAAATATTTTTTTCTTTTTTTAAAATTGTTTATTAACGATTTTTTGCATAAAATTTTTCTTTTAAATTTTTTAAGTATGCCATTTTTATGAGAAATTCAATTCTCTACAAAATTTTTCCTATGAACTATACTGAAATTTTACTTCGTTTTCGTGCTATATTTAAAAAACTGCAAACGTGCAATTTCACTCCTATCTTCAATTTCAACCCTAATTTAATAGCACCCCGCGGATTTTTCATTTTTAATGACCCTTCGAACAAGTCATGTGATGAAAATCCTTGAACGTCTTATTTCCTTCCTTTTTTGCAAAAAATGAGAATTAAAACGTATAAGAGTAAACGCGACGAAAATGGAAAAATTGGCTAATTGTTTGAGCGGTCATATATCAGTCAATTTTCATCCAAAAATACTTTACCTCTTATTTTGAAGGAAATTTTATCTATTTTTTTATCCACGATTTTCTGCATAAAATGTTCCTTTTATTTTTTAAATAAGCCATTTCGATGGGAAATTCAATTCTCCAAATAATTTTTCCTATGAACTATAGCGAAATTTAGCTTCGGTTTCGAGCTACAATTAAAAAACTGAAAGGGGTGCATTTTCACCCCTATCTCCAATTTCCACCCTCTTAATTTAATAGCACTCCGCAGTTTTTTCATCTAAAATGACCATTTGAACGATTCATGCAATAAAATATCTTGAATGTCATAGTTTCTTTTAAAATCCTATAATCAATAGCCTGTCAGCAACAGAAGAGAATGAATTTTCCTCAAATCCGATTTCTGCCAAGTGAGTGACTTTTGACTCTGTTCTGAGTATGTAAAACCAATTTAGTGTTGACTTCTTCTCTAATATGATTTAATTTTAACTGTTATTGAGTAATTTTGCATTATAAAAATTTCCAAGAGCCCTCCCCCGCACCAATCCATTGCATTTATTGCGTTTAAACGTAATTTTCACCAAAATAACCGGATTAACGGACACTTCTCCAGCACTACACGCCATACACCACGCCACGAGATGACCTAATGGGGACGATGGGAATAGACAAAGACAACTCACGACAACCATAGAATTTGGTGGAATCACTCAATAATGAGGACATTTATTCCGATTTAGGTACGAGTGTACCAAATGCGAGTTCATCTGTAGAATTTATTTAACGGGTACCTATATTTGAGTTAAAGTACTCAGTTTTAGGTCAAATATGACAAATGAGTAAAATTATCAAAATGCTCAATATTGAGTGAAAATGTACTCAATAATTTCACTCCATACCTTTATTGCCTTCACTCCCACCGATTTGTTTACAGTGCATGGCAAATCTACATTTCTTTTTTCATTTTTGCAGATATCCCGACGCAGGTACCGCCACTGACGCCGGGCACGAACAAGACGATGGCCGAGGCGCTCAAAGCGTCTTTCGCATCGTGGGAAAAAGAGCAACTCCGATTAAACATAACCAAAGGTGAGTCCGTATCTTTATCTGTGTAATGTCACCGATTTTTGAGGTTACCTCACACACTACCAGAAGGAACGCTCTCAGCCGTCGAGATTCTCGAGCTGAAATTACAGTCCAGAGCCCGTTCTCGTGGTTACGTGGGGTCCGGCTAATTAAAGTGGGATTTTATTGATCTCTAATTTGGTTAGTGACTTCCTAATGAGGTTGCATGAGTTATACGTGTTAACGTCAGCTATTCTCGTCTGCTGCGGAATTCGTTACAGTTAACTTTCCGATTCACGACGATAACGTTACCCCGATCGTTCAAATTTATTTATTTAGCCACTAATGGGTATATTGCCAGGTTTACAAAAAGGCAACTAAATGGGTAAAATATACTGGGTGTCTCTAATTTGACACATGGTTACATAATCGGCCCTTTTCAAGGTCAAAATAATTCGTCCGACCAGCAACCTCCTCGCGATGCGTATCGGGTAATTGTTAAAAACATATGAATAACTTGGCAAATGGCATAACTCGATCAAACAAAATCGTAGAGACTTGATTTTTTTTCAAATTGCTTGCTAGAAAGTGTACTTTACGATAGTCTATGAGTTATTTAAAAAAAAAAAGGTGCGATCCAGATACCGCGTCAACCAATCAAATTTTTTAAGAAAAAAAAATGTTTGGGCTATATGAAGACATTGAAATGCGGCATCGACTCGCATCCATTTCGCATATACAGGGTGATTTAACACTCCCGCTACCAATATCTCCGAAATGAATACATTTATGTTAGTTTCGGAAATTGGGGTTCTTAGGTCCCTCGAATAGCTTCAAATTGTAATTAGATCTGTTAGTTCAGTCCATTTGAAAGATCGTTAAATTTTGAATAATTTTTGCGATATAAAGTTTTTCCCTATATTTAGTTGTTTTCGAGATATGTCAACTTCAATGTGCAATTTATGAAATAACAGGAAAATCTATTATTTTGTCTAAATCACACCGTGACAAAATATTCTTTTAAAAACTAACAAACAATAAATTATAAAAAAACAAATGATCAACTACAAAAAAAATTGTACAATGGTAAATCGTATAACTAGTATAGTTAAATTGAAAGACGCATACTGATAAAACTGTAATTATTGGAAAACTAATGCATGTGTCATCTGTCATTGTTTTGTTTTAAGCAAATGACATGAGCCACCTATGACTGCATTTTTTAATAACATTTGATAAAATACGGTTCGTCTCTGCCCCTTATAAGATTTACCATTGTACAATTTTTTTTTCTGTAGTTGATCAGTCGTTTTTTTTTATAATTTATTGTTTGTTAGTTGGTATGTGATGTGAATAAAACTATTATAACAATATTTTAAAATAATATTTTGTCTCGGTGTGATTTAAATAATAGATTTTCCTGTTATATCAAACATGCATATTGAAGTCGGCATATCTCGAAAACAAGTAAATATATTTAAAAACTATATATTACAAAAATTACTCAAAATTTAACGATCTTTCAGACGGACCGTATTTCTACGTTACAGGGAACAAAACATTTTCTAGTATCGCCACGCCATCTATACAGAAAGATTTAAACTGACAATTCTAACTACAATTTGAAGCTATTCGAGGGACCTAACAACCCCAATTTCCGAAACTAAAATAAATTTCTTCATTTTGGAGATATTGGCAGCGGGAGTGTTAAATGGAAAACCCTGTATTTTTCTTTAAAGTACATATAATTACCTACAAAATGAAAAAAAAATCGTCTTGATACGATGAAATTTGACGGGACTATTCGCATTAGAAAAATGGAAAAATTTCGATGGAAAATGTTGTTGCGAAGTGTATTTATAATAATGATCTATAAAAATAACTTAACAACTCAAAACTATGACAAATATAAACATTTTATTAGAGCGCAAAACAGATTTATGAAAAAAATATATGCTATAAATATTTTTCACAGTCGACTGTCATAGTCGACTAAATTTTTTTAAATATTTCAAGGCGTTTCAAAGTTACTTGAAAAACAACTTACTTTGTCAACTTTGGTGCCCTGTAACGGCTAAAGCGAGGCAACTTAGACTAGAGCTAAGTTTAGTCAAATCTGCTTATTTTAATCGCAAGATCCTGTGGCAGCTTCGTTTACACGGAACGTTGGGACACCATGTAAAATCGTCTACTTCAGACATTCTATATGAAAGAGGTAGATAATCCTTTGCTTCCTATATTAAATCGTATTTACGGGTTTAATTATAAACATTACTTCTTATTCTGCAAGTACCTAGATGAAATTCGTTATAAATTCGATATATGACAACAGATCGATAAGTTACATTGTCTTTTGAGATAATGTCAACCCGTGTAATTGCCGTTGGCTATTTTTAAATTGATATCTTGATTAATCGATGCATCAGGTCATATCGGGGGTGATTTAATTCCAACGACATTGTGCAATGATTGCTAGGCGGGAGAAATGATTTTATAAGACCGCTTTTACAAGTGCGTTTTTGTCGCGCGACACGAAGATGTCGTTAGTACTGCAGTAGGAGCTACACACGTAGCGATAAATCGTAACAATGCAGTTAAAATCGTTACAGTACAAGGTATATGTTCTAACCAATCCAAAATCTGCACATATCATTAAGATTATACTGCGTAACAAAGTTGCTTGTGGTGTAGCTATGTATGTAGGTAGCTATCATAAATCAACTAATGTGTATTCTGAATCTTTTAAAACCGTTTAACTAAAATATTTCCTATTAAAAAATGATAAATAATAAAACTAGATGAAGGTTAAAGGATATGTGACATAATTAAATATATAATTAAGCACTATCAAAATATCAGCAAGCCTTGAGATGTAAATAGATACAGCTTTATCTTAGACGACCTTCTGTAATCAGGATTCATAATTATTCAGTTCTCTTATCAAAAATGTGGCCTAGGTGATACTGATTTCTGAAGATATTGCACGAAGCTACTTTTTACTACAGGGATATTTTCAGAACACAGTCATGTATGGGGCTAGCTAAATTCAGCACAGGACCCCTAATATTGCAATAAGTTTTTGTTCTGAACTACGTTTATAATAAACATTTTTATATTTTATACGAAAAAGGCACTTTACATATACTGAAAATATTTTCGCACTATAAAAGATAAAAAGTAAATAAAGTAAAATGTAACCAAGTTTAATTATCAAAATGTGTAGAACTCTACATGCAATTAATAAGAAAATAACATATTTTAACAAAATTTATTTATTTTCTGTGGCTACAACTTTTTATATCCTCGATTGTAGTAAAAGTTAAATTTTTCTCCTCGTCTATTTTTCCGGAAATTTTAGACAAATGGTAACCAAAAATGAAGCCTCGTATTCTTTGGTGAATTTTAAGGGGTCTTTCCCTTAGTTTTTTTTAGGAAATATTTTTAATTTTTTTAAATAATTTAAAAACTAGTAAATGAAATAATTTGAAATTGCGCACATATATTGATGTAAACATTGTCCAAAATCTGAGTGCTTTTCCTAAAATTTACATGTTCCAGTGGCGGAGATACAGGGTATCGGTGGCATATTTTTCTAAATAAAATAGTACGCCACTGTTTTACGATAACAACCATGATATTTTCATATTCGTCTTTCAATTTTCTACAAATTACTAACTCTCTTTTTCGTTTTTCAAAAAAAGACTGATTTTTGAGTAAAACTTAAAAAACCAACTGAATCACCCTGTATGTTGACTATCTTTCATAGCGATTTTTATTAAAATAATAACTTGTACCTTAAATGTATGCAATGTGATATCTTCCGATCAACTTCGAACCTATTCTTGTTTGAACAGCGATAACGCCCGTATACAACACCATGTTCGAGAAAAACAATAGGCCTCGACGCGAAAGTTTGGGCCCGATGGAAATGTAAACAGCCAGCGTCGGCATTCTTTGACAATTACTCGTCCGTGTGTGCTCGGTCAACAATCGAATGGTCATGCTAACATTTTCTTATTTGACGTCTCAATATTGGGCAGCAAACAATCAAATCAAACACCGGGCTCGAGCCCAGCAAACGACGAGAGTCGCACCGATCGCCATCAGTCACACCTAAGAGTCGGCATTTGCCGTACTTTTGCAAGTCCGCGATAAGATTGCGCGGACAAAATAAGGTTCGTCAAACACAGACTGCATTATTTAAATACGTAAGTGTATCTTTTGCAACGACTGACTTGGGCATGTGCGCAAGACATGGAAGGATATTGGATATTGTAATTTACTTATAAAGAAGTTTAGTGGATGATTTCTAGGCCCATATAGAGAATATTCGCAACAAAAGGCCAAGGCCTAGTAAAAGATTGCAAAATATTTTTTTGCATAATCAACCGATAGATACAACTAAGCGTTTTCTTATTTTTCACAAAATTTTCATTTAGAGCATTATGAAGTTTAAAAAATGGAATGTCAATATCCAATTAAAATTTAGATATCACAATAAAAAAATAACTGACTGTATTAAGGAAAAAAATATTTTGCAAGTATATGCACAAGCATCTAGAGATCTCAGGGTCGGCCACCTCTACTTTATTTCGCGAATTTCGTTCGAAATTTTTCCGCCGTCAAAGTTCTCTTTGTGGACCTAGAAATCATCCCCTAAAATGGTATAGGTACCAAGTATTTAACTAGTGTCTGGCTGATTCCATAGTTTTCCATTACGGCCATAAGTATTTAGTTCCATGGTCTTAGGGTACCTTATCTAACCTTAAGCTAGCACAGGCTATTTTCTGCTAGACCAATATTTTTCAGTGTTCAATATCCACTTGACATTCCTACTATTATCCTTATTCATCTAAGATTTTGGTCAGTAGGCCTGCCGTTGATTACTCTTTTTAAGAACCTGTTGCTTTATATCTATCCTATCATCATATTTGGGTCTTACCCTTGACCCATTGTGTTTTAACACTTGCAGGAATAGGTTCTTCAAAAAACGAAGCTAGGTTGGAAGAGGGTTCATTCCCATG